GTAGGCTCATAGATCTATTTCCCCATCCTCGTATAAATATATTTGCATATGTACATGTCTTTATCTAGACCTCTATAAATGCCCTTTTTTAGTAGCAACAATACTTTGATGCTATCCGTAGGGTTTTCAGTGGCTAATTCCTTTGCAGTGGACAGCCTATTCTTTCTTCATAGTCTGTGGTCAGTCTAGGAGCATTTCTGAAACCTGTTCACTTTGGGTGACCCTGGTGGTATTTGAAATAGCAGCAACACATAGCTTTCCGCGGCACACAAGCCACCACAGTACAACAAATGGACAGTCAAGGGGTGGTTACGACACAGAGCAGAAAGTATGTGAGTGTCCAGTAAAAAGTGTTTAGGATTATTCAGGCCACTGGGTTGAGCTTTACCATACTTAATCCACATGGCATGATTCCTATTCAAGTCATCTGGTGATTTCTGTCCATTCCTCAGTAGCAGAATGCCTTACACACATGTGAGATGAAGTGGTGTTGTCATTGTTATCAAACCAAACTTACTGCCGTAGAGTTGATGCTGACTCATAGTGACCCTATAGGACAGTGTAGAACTGCCCCTGTGAGTTTCCGAGATGATAATTGTTTATGGGTATAGAAAGCCCTGTCTTTCTCCTGAGGTGCAGTGGTGGTTTCCAACTGTGGACCTTGCAGATCACAGCCCACTACACCACCAGGACTCCTGTCATCATTACAGTCATCATTGAACACATCACTCACGATCAGTAGCAACGGAGGAGGGACACATTCCCTCATGGTTCTCTGTTCATTAGGGGACAGGTTGGCTGTGTTCCAGCGAACAAACAAAAACATAGATAACATTGAGTGTAAGCAGCCCAAAGGGTGCGGAGGTGACTCTCGAGGGTTTGGGGCGTAGGCTTCCTCTGTCTTGCAGACCTGCTGTCACTCTCACCTGTGTGGATCAGGGACTCACCTCCACCACATCTGTAATCCAAGTAGTGAGTACAGGAAGAGGGACAGCTGTGGGCACACCGCCCCAGCCCGTCCAGGAAGGACCTAGATGTAACCGATTGTTACCGGTTCCCAGACACTTCACTATCCCATCCCATCAACCAGACTTAGCTACCCAGTTTCAAGGGAATATGGGCTGTATATTCTTTAGGGGGGGTCTGTGGACACATCCACAGTCTTATTATTATAAAAAGGGGGATGGCAGACCGTGGTGTGCTGGAGATTCTCCCATGGATCCTGAGTGCATGTATCTGCTTTTTAGCCCATGTTGTCACTCTACAGAAAGCACTTGGCACACCCTGTAGACTCCATTGAGGGAATTCACCTCTTCTGTGTGTTCTCCACAATCCTGGTGCCTGGATATGTACTGATGAGTAGTTGGTATGTGACCATTAGGAACAAAGCAGAGTCCACCAGCTACTTAGCAGTTTCGAACTTGATGCCCAGGGGCTAACGTGCAAGACGGGTGTGCAGAGCTGGGGTAGGGAAAGCCCACATGCTGGTCACGTGTTAGAGCCTCCTAGCTGTAGAAAGCATGTTCTTGAACTTCCCTCGCCTGTTCTTTCCTCTCCAAAGGAAGGCATTTAGATCGGGCTGTCCAGTACCCATGTTCTAAAATTGTATATACAGTTCCAGGAGGATTGAGTCACTAGAAAACTTTTGTGGAATGAATTGGGAGTGTGATTATGTAAACACGTGTGTGTGTGTGTGTGTGTGTGTGTGTGTGTGTGTGTTATGCCACATGTATGCAGACAGCCTGGGGGTCCTGGAGCAGGTGCTTTTTGTACTCAGAAACCACTTCAGACTTTTTTTAATATAAATCATTTTATTGGGGGTTCTTCCAGCTCGTATAACAATCCATACATCCATTGTATCAAGCACAGTTGTGCATATGTTGTCATCATCATTTCCAAAGCATTTGCTTTCTAGTTGAGCCCTCGGCATCACCCTGTCTTTTCTCCCTCCCTCTCCCACCCTCCCATCCCCATGACCCCTTGATAAATGTTAAATCACTATTATTGTCACGTCTTACACTCTCCACTAGCTCCCTTCACCCACGTTTCTGTAGTTCACCCTCTGCCGGGAGTGGTTGGGGAGGATGTTACCGGTTCACTTCACACTATTAAACTTATTTTCAAACTTGATTTTTGTTTCAAAGCATTTCATTTTCTAATGTTTTTGACGTTGTAATGTGATTTCTGTGGGAGTTTACATGCAGATTGCTTTTCCATTCAACAGTCTCTACACGTTTTGTTCCGTGTCACCGGTGGAATCCCCACAATGTGACCGCACTCTTCCCCCTCCGGCCCTGTTTTTGTCTCTGTCCCTTCCTGCCCCCTCAGCTTCCTCCCTGGGGCCACACTGCTCTTTCACCCGTGGTGGTTGACTCTAAGGTCTGCCTCTCTCCTCCACCTCCCAGGTCACTTTCTAGGCCAGTCTGTTGTCTGACAGTTGAACCAGGAGTTCAGTTCTCAGTTTGAAGGCTGACTAAAGGTCATGGTCTTGGGGTCAGTTGACTAAAGGTCATAGTCTTGGGGTCAGGTTGACTAAAGGTCATAGTCTTGGGGTCAGGTTGACTAAAGGCCATAGCCTTGGGGTCAGTTGACTAAAAGGCCATAGCCTTGGGGTCAGGTTGACTAAAGGTCATAGTCTTGGGGTCAGTTGACTAAAGGTCATGGTCTTGGGGTCAGGTTGACTAAAGGCCATAGTCTTGGGCTCAGGTTGACTAAAGGCCATAGTCTTGGGCTCAG